GGGGGTGATACTGGGGGGTGGGGGGAAGGATGGGGGATGGGGGAAGGAGGCCCCATGAGTGTAAGCCAGGGCAGGTGAGGCGTGCTGGGTGGCCCGTGACGGCCATGCTCTGCTGCAGTGCCTGATCTCAGCCCGGGAGCTGACCCTGTAGCCTGAGGCACCCACAGGCGGCCTTGCAAGTCAGAGAGTGCATTTTGGGGGGTCTCCTTGGCAGCTGTGAGCAGGATGGGAAGGCAAGCAGGCGGCTCAGCTAGGAGTCAATGCAGGGTCTGTTGGGAGCAGGTGAGGGCCTGGGGACAGGTGAGGAGGGGATAGGCGGGGCATTACCTGTTCACTTCTGTTTCCCCCTCGCCTAGAACAGCACCTGGCACATCGTAGGAGCTTAATACATGTTTGCCAAATAAATACACTGGTACGTCTGGAACATCTGCCTTTCTGCAGGTTCTGTCTATCCATCCAGCTATCACATATTTGTGAAGCACCTACTGTGTGCCAGGCTAAAGTGAGTGTGCAGACCAAATGAAATCACGTTCCCGTCCTGAAGGACCTCCAGGTCTAGTGGGGGGCAGATGGGAAGCCGGCAGCACCGGTCCGAGCCAGTGAGAGAGAGCCCAGGGCAGGGGGCCTGGAGGAGCTGCCCCCAGCCTGTCCAGGACCGGGGTCAGCGCTGAGTTTTTCTGCCAGCCCTTCTGCACTGGCAGCGGTGTCTCTAAGTAGTGCTGTGGGGGGCGGGAGCTTGGGGAGGTGCCTCGCTCTATACCTGCTTGCCTTGGGGAGAGGCCGAGGCAAGGTGGGCGCCACCCAAGGCACTTGGCTGCAGCACTGGGGACTTGTTGACAGTTGAGGGACAGGACTGCCCAGAGCCCCTGGGCTGGCGCCCACCTCCGTTGGTGGGACACAGAGGGAATAGGAAGCAGAGGGTTCTGGGAGCCTTTCCTGACACGTTAGGGAACCCAGAGGTGTCGTGGCTGGAAGGACAAGCTCCTTGTTGTCTGCAGAACAGAGCCTGGGTGCTATAGGAGGCAGTTTGGCCGTAGGACCAAGAGGACAGCACAGGGCTACATGGCCAGGCCGTGGGCCCTGTGCTCCCGGAGCCTCTGTTTCTCCTGAATTCCCTCCTGGGGTCACTGAGATGGACCCACAGGGACAGGCTTAGAGTGGACTCTCCGTCCTGGGACACTCAACTCTCTTGATTCTGTGTCTTCCCCCAGGACGTCCCGGGCTGTATTCAGGACGAATGGCTGCCCCTGCCCAGGCAGGAGGCGCCGGGAGCCTGCAGAAGCCAAGGTCGGCACGCCTCGCTCCGCCCCGACGGTGCCCCAGGACCAAGCGCCTCAGCAGGTGTGTGGGAGCCGCAGTGCGTGGGGCTTGGGACACCTGCATGGACACCCACCCCTGCGCTGGCGTGCTATGACATTCTGAATGATGCAGGGGTGGGCGCCCCTGCTCTGCAGACAGGAAGCTGAGGCTCAGAAAGGTGGTGTGGCTTGTCCTGTGTCACACAGCTGGCAAACGGGGGGTCAGACTCCAGAATGCCCATGACATTGGTGCCAGCATTGGGCAGTAGGGGGCTCTCAGGAGGAGTTATCTTCGAAGAAGACCCTGTGATGACCACCCCCATCTCCACCCTACCCCAGTGACAGCTCAGGTGCCAGGTCCTGGAGCTGCTGGGACTTAGAAGCCCCTTGTCCTGAACTTGTCCTTGATGGGAGCCTGTGTCTCTGATAATAGTCTCGGGCACAGCTTTCAGGGTCTCTGCTGCAAAAGCCTCTGCAGCCAGGAGCCCCAGAGCAACTGTGTCCACCGGGGTGTCTGTGGTTTACGCACAGTCCTCCAAGGCCAAGGGCAGTTTAAGGATGAGGGGGTCGTTCACACCCAGGGGTGCTGCTGACCAGCGAGGCTGACTTTCCCTTTCTGTCCCGTTTCTGGAGAGCTGAGCTGACAAGTCCAGCGAGGTCAAACTTGCCCTTGGAGAAGGGGCTTGTGGCTGCTGTGTTCACAGCCCGCTGTGTGGGGCTGGGGGCGGGGATTACGCCCCTGATGAGGAAACGGGAAGAGAGAAGTGTGGGTTTTGTTGCCCGTGTGAGCTCTCTGGTCGGCGGAAGTAGCTTCCAGACCCAGGTCCACTGCTCATCAGTGGATGGTCGTTTCCCGTCCCCGAGCCTCAGTTTCCTCACCTGACAGGGTATGGTGATCACCTTAGCGAGCAGTGCCAGGTATTCTGACATTCGGTGGCAATTGCGGGAAAGCTCCTAGCAAGGTCTTACTAACCCTTGGGTGCTGTCCCTTCTAGGCCAGTCCTCCGAGGGGCCCTGCGCCTGGGGTAGCATCGGGGCTGGACCAGGAGGCCCCTCTGTTTCGGTGCCAGACCTGAAGACCACAGCTGAACTCCTGGGAGACCTGACAGGGTCTGACCATGGACAGGTGAGGCCTTTCTGTGTATCCGGGGCTCCAGCTGCCATGTACCACGCTTCACCCTACCGAAGCCTCCAGCCAGCTAGGAGACAGGGGCCATGGTCCCGTTCTGGAGAGGAGGACTCCGGGACTCCGGGAGCTGCTGGGATTCCCGGGCCACGCTGCCCCAGAGCTGGACCCGGAGGTCCCACCTCTCTAGCCAACGCTTCGCCTCATGCTGACCACCGAGGGGCAGAAGCCCGGTTCCAACCAGCCCTGCCTGGTTCACTCTGAGTCACAGCCTTCCTCAGCTTCCGTTTTCCTGTTGCTAAAGGGCAGAGATGTGCTTGACCAGAGCTAAGGTCCGCCAGCCCTGATGTGGGTGGCTCTGTGGTTCTCCACAGAGAGGGCCTCCCGTGTAGCAGGCCCTTCGCGTCCTGCCACGAGCCGCTGTGGGGTGTGCCGTCACACCTAAAGTGGGAAAAGAGCTGAGAGCCAGTTGTGCCATGGGGTCAGGCGGGCTTCTTGGAAAAGCTGGACCCTGGCCGGACCCAGGTGGAGGGGTAGAGTTAGACAGACAGGGAAATAGAGACGGGCAGCGAAAGGGCAGGCTGTGGGGCATGGTGGCCGTGGTTCTATGTGAGCCCAGACCTCGCAGCGAGCTTGCATGAAGCCAGCGTCATCTCCCAGGCCCCTGCCCTCCCTCCCAGCCTGGGTATCTTCTGTGAGCCTACCAGTCCTCCTCTCTGCATAAACGGACTGAATAAAGTTAACATAAAAATATATTCGAAAACATCTCTGAAGCACCTCCTATGTGCCCGGCCCTGCTATAGGCCAGGGTCCCTGCCTTCAGGGAGCAGTCCACACCACACTGCCCGCTGGAACCTTCCATGACACCGGACACATTGCATATCTGTGCTGCCCAGTGTAGTAGCCACGAACCACATGGCGTCCGAGCCCTTGAAAGGGGGCTAGTGCGTCTGCAGAACTGAATGCTAACTCTCATTTCATTGTTTTAAATTAGAAAGGTCCCTTGTGGCCTGTGGCTACCATATGGAACAGGGAGGGGCTATAGGGGGAATTAGGCCACACGTACATAAATGTATGACATGGAGGAGTGGGGGGTGCTGTGGAGAAAATAAAGGGGGGGGTCAATGCACAGAGAGTGGGGGCAGTGGTCAGGGAGGCCTTTTTGAGAAAATAATGTTTGAGATGGGGTGAGAATGAAGCGAGGGGCTGAGCCATGAGGGAATCTGGGGGAAGGACTTTCTGGGCAAAGGAAGAGCAGGTGCAAAGGTCCTGGGGTGGTAACAGGCTTGGTGTGTGAGGAAGGCCTACGTGGCTGGGTGAGGAAGCACCAAGAACGTTAGGAGATGAGGTCGGAGAAGTGGGGAGAGGATAAATGGGAGAAGGGGCTGCTTCACACCTTATCTTCTCTCCCCATCCCCAGCTTCCTCTGGCTGAGCCCAGCGTGCACGACCAGAGCCTTCTCCTCATCTGTGGCGGCCCCCCGGGCCCGTGCGTGGACGACTCACTCCTCCCCTTGGAGCTGGCCTGGATGATGGAGCAGAGGCTAGCAGCCGCTCCGGCTCAGGAGTCCTTCCTCCTAGTGCAGACATCCGCACTCCCTCCACGGGGGCCTGCCAGGGACCCAGCCCCTCTACTGCTCCAGGAAGCTTCCCCAGAACTCCAAACCCAACTGGTGCTGGACACCAGGTCCTCGCCTGCTCCCAGAGCCGTAGGACAGCCCTGCCGAGGTCATCACCAGGCAAGGAGCCTCGAAGCCCCCCTCTGCCGGGAGTCCCCACAGGTTTCTAATCACCAATTTCCCAAGAGAGGGCCCAGTGGCCCAAACGACGCTTGGAAGGCGGCAGGAGAAGTCCCAGGGTGGACATCCGAGGGGTGGGGGCCGAGGAGGACATGGGGCAGGAAGAAGGAAGAACTCGGTGACAAGTCCCAGCTACATCAGGGAAACGGTGAGAACCTGAGCTTGGAGGACGGTGTCGGCGCCCAGAACGACGTGCGGCCTGAGCGCGGGGCTTCAGGAGCCCAGGCCGCTGCGTCCTGCCCGTGGCCCGGGCCAGAGACTCCCCTGCCCTTTCTGCAGGGGGAGGCCTCCCTGTCAACAGAGGGTCTCGAATTCCTGAGCAGGAGGGGGCGGCCCGAAGGGCATATCTGGGTCCTCCTGGGAGGGCTTTCATCCGCAGAGGAGGAAGGAATCCTCCCAGCCGCCTTCTTCGGGGCTCACGGCACCAAAGGGCCACCTCCAGCAGGCGCCCAGCTCCTTACAGAGATGGGCAGAGCCATCAGGACAGTTCAGGGCACGGAGGGAAACCACATGTGGCCTGGAAACTCTCTGCTTCTGCACGAGGAAAGCCCTGGGGGCGAAGGGCAAGGAGAGGAGGAGGTGAAGGCATTGCATCTGCAAGGGTCCAGACCAGACGACAGGAAGGTCCCAGAGGAGCCTGGCCCCAAGGGACATGAGGCCAAGGCAATGCTTTCCCTGATGGAAGAGAGAGGTTTGCCACCGTTCTTCAGAGCGGCCCTCTCACCCGAGGGGGCTGAACCCACCGGTCTCGCATGGGCTCCACAAAAAGCACACGACGGGTCTGCCCTCACAATAGACACATTTGAAAAGGAGATGGAGGCTTGTTTCCAGCAGCTGTCCATCCTGAAGCTTGGGAGTGGGGCTTGTGGACAGGAAGCTTCCACGTTGGTGGGAGAGAACTGGAACTTTGCTCGGAGATGGCACGGCTGCCCGGAGCATGTGTATCCCCGGCAGGTCTCGGCAAACCAGGGTTTGGATACATGTCCTGCCGAGGAAGCAGACCCCAAGGAGAATCGTGAAGATGTGAAGCTGGGAGAGGCTGAGCCCCTGGGAGCTGACGAAGTTCTTCCGTGGATGGTGCCTGGTTTGGAGGCCCTGAGCCTGGGCCCGGAGGGGTCCCCCGAGCTTGGCCGGCTCTCTCAGCCAGCGAGAGCCTTCGAGGGAGCCAGGGGAAGGTTTCATCAGCTCATTTCTGGACTGAAGAAGGAGAGAAGCAAGGTTTTACATGCCAACGCCAAACTTCAGAGAGACCAAGATAGATGCCATAAAAAAATACGCGCCCTCGAAAAAGAGAGGGCGAGAAATGTGAACAAAATCTCTACACTGGAGCAGGACAACAGCATGCTCTTGGGAGACATCTCGCACTTAAAGAGGGAACTGGACCAATATTTGCAGGCCATCTCTGATCTTGAGGACTGCAACGAGAAAAGTTACCATAAAATTTCTGAGCTCGAAGAGGAAAGCGAAAAACTGAAAGGGCACGTGGGCCAGCTCCAGAAAGCCATGTCTGAGAGCTCCAGAAAATCCAAAGTCGTGATGGAGGCCGTCACACAGGAAAACGGGGAGCTCAAGGCGCTGATTTCAGAGCTCGGGGTCAGTTACAAAGAGCTGATCAGGGACATCGCGCTGGGAATAGAAGATATGATCCGGGCCTTACGGGGAGAGAACGAACACCTTCTTCACAGGATCCGAGCCCTGGAGACCGAAGTTGTGCTGGGGATGAGCCGCGGGGTGGGGCGTTTGGGGCAAGCAGAGGAGCGCCCCCAGGGGAGAAGCACGGCGGCAGTGCACAGGGCGGATGGCGTAGAAGTGGGGGTACAGACGACTCAGCTTCCAGAGCCACTGACTGCAGGAAGCCACTGGCCGCCCTGGGAGGAGGAAATGGGCCCTGCTGGAGGGCGGATGGGACCTTCCTTCGGCCTGGAGAATTCCAGAAGCTGTGCTGATTCTACTGCTCCATCGTCGGCTGGGAGAGAGGGTGACGTGTCCAGTGCTCTCCAAGGAAACATCGACGCAGGACAAGTAAAAGCAGCACATTTGGAAAAAGAGGAGAGAAGACCGTGGTGTTCTGCGGACATCTCTGAGGTGCCAGCTCTGAGGTCGCTGAGCAACGGCCCCCAGGTAGGCTTACGCTGCAGAGCTGCTTCCTCCTCATCTTGTTCACTTTCTAGGGGGCTGACCGCCCCGGTCACGCAGCAATCCTCCAGCAGTTCCTTGAGGGAGGCACAGGCGCCATCTCCAGGTATCGGATGTGAAAACGTAGGCGCAGAAAAGCGAAGGGACTTGACCAAAGTCACACGGCAAGGAGGGTTGGAGCTGGGCCTCGCACCCGGGCGGCCTGGCTCCTGAGTCTCCGTTCTCCCCCAGGACCTCAGAGGCGAGCCTGCCCCTCTGCTTAGGCCATTCACACTGGTGTCTGGTGGGACGTGCAGGGGTGTTTACATTTTAAGATCAGAGCCTGTATTTTCAGATCGAGGAGCTTTCAAGCTGCCCAAGTGGTAATTCTGCCCTTTGGGGCTTGGCAGGTGCCAGGGACAGAGCAGTGGGCCTTAGGCCCCCATCCAGCAGGGTTCGAATCCAGCTCTGTACTTACTAATGTGTGACTTTGAGCCAAGATACAGACTTAGGAGTCATGTTCCTCATCTGTGGGCAATACTCAATTTCTAGGACTCCTAGGATAGAAAGCTCATCTTCTTGTGGTGGTCTTGTGTGTTCGTAGGATATTTAGTGTTGAGCCCCTGTATTCATCTTATTCATTCTCTCTCTCCCTCTGTCCCCTCTTTCCTTCTTCTCTCTCTCTCTCTCTCTCTCTCTCTCTCTCTCTCTCTCTCTCTCTCTCTCTCTCTCTCTCTAGCTCTAGCTCTCTCCCTGAGCAATTTTATGAGTCATTTCAAAAGATCATCTTTTGGTTTTGCTGATTTTCTTTGTTATAGATCTGCATTTTATTTCATTGTTTTCTGCTTATATCTTCATTGTTCCCTTTCTTCCACTTTCTTTTGGTTTAACTGGATGTTCCTTTTCTTGCTTCTTGTGTCGAAAGCTTAGATCTCCAATTCTTGAACTGTTCTCCTTTTGTAACCTATGCACTTGCCTCTCAGCACCATTTCAGCGGCATCTCACACACGGTGGGATGTTGTACTTTCCATGCCTGTTAGGTTCCAAGTAGCTTCTAATTTCTGCTGTGATTTCCTCCTTGACCCACAGGTTACTTAGAAGCCTGTTGCTGAATTTTCAAGCACCTGTGAAATGTTTTAGTTTTAGTTTTGTTATTGATTTCTAGTTTTATTTCACTGCTGTCAGAAAACATACACTATACTATCGTAAGGTTTTAACATTTGCTGAGATGCGGTTTATTGGCCAGATGGTGGTCTATTTTGGTACATATCCTACGTGCCCCGTAAAGAATGAATATCCTGTGGTTCTTGAGTATTGGGTGGTTCATTGTGCTAATCGTAGCTTCTGTATCTTTCCTGGTGTGTTGTAATTTGTTTTGTCATTTACCCAGATGCTTTTCGAAACCTCCCACTCTGAGTGTGCACTTGTGTTTTTCTTCTTTGAGTTATGTTAGTTTTGATTTATATATTTGAAATTATTTATGAGATATAGACAAATTTAGGATTATAATGTAGTCCTGCTGAATCGACTCTTTTGCCATGATGAAATATCTCTCATCTCTCACACTTTTTGCCCTAAAGCCTACTTTGTCTGATATTAAAGTAGTCACATCAATGTCTTTTTCATTATATTATAATATACTCATACTTACTTATATATGTAATAACACATATTTCAGTATTGTCATGGTATACAATGAAAAACTGTGGTATGCATAGCTTCTATACCATCCATCTTTTTGCTCGCAGCTTATCTGTATCTTTATATTTAAAATATGTCTTTTAGGAACAGCATATATGTGATGATACAATTGTGTTTCTTTCTACCTTACGGGCCAGCTGTTCTAGTCACCTCATCAGTTCTATTTTCTTTCATTCCTCCTTCCCTGCCTTTGGTTTTGTTACTAATAAAACAGTTTCTATTCCTTTTTCTTCTGCACTAGCTTACTCTATTATACATCTTAGAATCATTCTTTTAAAGGTTACCCTAAAAATTCCACAATGTAGCTATCAATTATTAAAATTTACCTTAAATCAGGACTTTTACCATGTTGCCATAATGCAAAAATCCTTTAATAGTTTTTCTTTTATTCCCTTTCTTCTCTTTATTTCTTATTTTTGTCATGCATATCACTTCTTATCACTTCTATGTATGATAACCCCTACAAGGCATTGTCATTTTTGTTGCTTTGAACAATCAGTAATCTTTTATATTTACCCAGATCTCTACAGGGTCTGTGCTGTTCATTACTGTCCCTGCTTCTGTGGATGTTGACCTTCTGCCTGACAAGCTTTGCTATTTCTCGTAGTGAGGGTCTTACCAGTGATGAATTCTCTCGTATTTCTTTTTATGAAAACAATTTTCACCTCTACTTTTATACGTTTTTTTTCCCCCCTTTTGGATTTAGAATTTTAGGTAGGTAGATATTTCCCCCCTTTTGGCACTTTGAAGGTCTCGTTTCATTGTCTTCTGGATCCCATAGTTTCTGTTAAAAAAACTGTTTATTTGTTGTCATTGTTTTTTGGGTTTTTTGTTTCTTTGTTTCCCTGTAAGAAGTATGTTGTTTTATCTCTGACTACTTTTATCTTTGGGTTTTGGCAGTGTGACTGTGATGTGCCTGGTGTGGTCTTATTTGTGTTTTTTTCCTGCTTGATTTTTTTCTGAGATTTTTGAAATTGTAGATTCATGTCTTTTATCAGATTTTGTAATTCTTGGCCTTTATTTATTCAAATATGTTGTTCTGTATTATTTTTCTCTCTTGTCCTAGAAATTCATACTTTTTGACTGTATGCCACATCTTTTGAAACTGTTATGTATTTTTCTCTCTTTGTGCATTGGTTTGAGTTTTCTAGTGACCTGTCTTTTTCATTCACTACTCCTGTGTTATGCTGTGTCCTATCTTCTGATAAATCCATCCAGTGGGTTCTCAATTTCATTTATTGCATTTTGCAGGTCTTGAATATCCATTTTATCCCTTTTAAGAGATGCTGAATCTCTATTAAAATACTCCTTTTCACCCATTTTTGTCTGTTTCCTATGATATATATATATATAGAGAGAGAGAGAGAG